TTTTTTCAATCAGATGGTATGGAAGAAAATAATTATTCTTATTTCATATGCATTTGTACTTTGAACAACAATGTTATTGTCCAAATTCGATATGGTCATTTTGAATTAACGAGAATCATATGTAAACATATCAAAAAACAAGAAAGAAAAATAGTTCTTAAACAAAACAAAATTATTTTGCAATAAGAAAATGTTACTGACCTACTCTATATAGAAGACAATGCAAAAGACAAAAAATACTACGATAATTATAATGTCTGATTTGGCGTTTTATTCTTTATGCTATATGTGTCGATAGATTTGGTTTTTTTTTAATTTGTACTTTATTTAAAACTATGTCGCGTTTTAGTATTTGCTTACGAGGCCTTTTTTTTTATTGATAAATAAATTGATTAACATTATTGTACTTGTCAAAGAACATTTTTTGCTTGTAAACAGTTAGAAAGTTTTCTAAATTTTACATATCTGTACAATCCAATATTCAGTTATATAAGCTTTTTCAACATGTTAAAAATCAAATTGTTTATTTCCACATTTACTATGAAGAGTTCGATCAAAATTAAATTTAAATTAAATTTCTTATTTAAAAATAAGACTAATAAAGAAAAAAAACTTGTCAGCGCAATTCCTTTCGAGCTAAAATGTGCAACTCCCATGTGTTCTTCCAGCCTCATTCCTTCGACTGAACGGAGGATCACATGAAATAAAATGAGTTTGCTTGCATGTGTAAAGTCACGTCTACACATATACTTGTGAAGATCTTGGGTAGCTATTTGACATGAGCCTTCCTCATATTGATAATTCAGCCAATGAGGTGTTTCTACTACTTCAATCTCAACCGATCAGATTTTTTTCATGTTGGCGGCTCAGGATATAGATGTGAGGTGTGAGTATGAGTGTGGTGATGTTGTATATGTGTAGCACACTTGAAATCTGTCGAATTTTTTTCGATCGGGCCGAATCGAACAGACCGGTTGAAATTGTTGATTTAACCGGCGAAAAATCGGTGTGGTTAGTATATCAACTACACAATCAGTTCTTTCGAGAACCAGTCTATTACTTCAGTTCTACGAAGAGATACGATGTAAAACTCATATAACTATTGGAGCGTGGAATAGTAACAACTCCTATTTTAGTCTGTCATGTTTTATGTACTAACATGAAGAATGAACAAAGATTTCTTTCAAAATGTTTCATCTAGTAACTCATATTGAACAACACTTATATTGTGCTTTAGATGACATTTTTCAATAATCTTATAATTTCTTTACAATTGATAAGTTTGATCTATTCTTATTTGAAATAATTATTTAACACAGCTAAAAGGCATCTCAATTCGTAAAAGAAAATACGACTGTTGACAGAAAAATAAGGTGAACTAAAACGTATGATTTTTATATTAGACTTCCTATTTTAAGATTTCTTGACGTCTAAATATTTTACAATTGCATGATACTAGTATGTGGCAAAATCTTGACAATAGAACAAAGTTTTACTGATATTTTGCACTTAAAGCATAAACTGAAAATTACTAGCTACCGGGATTTTATAAGAATCCGTTAAAGTGGTCCAGAAAAGTGTGTTCGAAATTCTGAGATGAAAAATTTTTAATTGAGATCGAAACCAACTTCTAACACTTGGTTAACTTTTCGTGAGCATAATAAATTTATTCAGAATGATCCAAGGCTTTCATCGTATGATGAGAAAGCGTTAACTCAATATGAAGAGTTCAAGTTTTGACAACTACTGGAAATTTGTCAGTTGGGAACTTCCAGGCTCATATCTCTTGATCATTAAAACCATGGATATCGTTAAAAACCAGTAAAATAGGCCAACTTTAATGCCCTCAAAAAAATTAACAAAAAGGCGGGTAAAAATCTGGTGAACATCCGTCGGCTTTAAGAGGTCAATCGGATTGGACGGGTAACCGGCAGATTGGCTAATCCCGTTCCAAATGTAATGGGTTGAATGTGTGTATGCCTGTGGTTATGAATACGTGGTGTTCGTATGGGTGAAGCTGTGGCGGTGCGGAGTGCAGTGTGCATGCGTTGGTGTGATGTGTAAGTGTGGCAGTGGGTAAATTTGAATATGTGGGTATGAGTGTGATTATTTGAACAGTGAAGCAAAGCATTGACATCGGCACGCACATCAATATCCAAGTCGCAACGACGAACGTTATTTGTTCAATTTATAGCCTACTTAAAAAAGCATTATTCAAATAGGCATTCTATGCACTCGTATCTACATCATCTCGATGCTATGAAACTTTGGTATTCGGAGTCTTTACTCATTTTCAGGTCGCTCAAAGTGGATGACGTTTACAGCTCGCTTTCAGTCAGTAAACGTGAAAAAATGTCAAATTTACAGTAGTAAACAGCTAAATACAGATTTTAAACTCTCTGTATTTACAACGTTTGATCGGATGCAGAAACATAGCCGATATTTTATTATTAGCATAAACAGTCGTATACAATTCATGTACTGTACATTACAACTATTCCAATCAATCTTTTAAGTATCATAAGTGGACCGTGCTTATACCGTTTTCACACCATAAACTATATAGAATACGCCATAAATTCGTGATTCACAGACTGATACTACATTATCAATGCAGTCATGCTCATCCAATCACAATTTTAGTTACAGGATGCCATCTGGTATTCTAGTGCATTATATACGGTCTGTTGTGTACGATAGTCTGACGTGACAGTACGCGATATAGGGCACGTCTAGGTGCATTGCACGCTTCTGTCTTACTTCATTTTACCAACCGCTTTTACAAGACCTGATTAATGTATTTCATGTTTTTGTAGCACTCCTCGACGATTAGAGTGCCATAGCATGCATCCCGAAAAGCTCTGACAGACTTTCGTACAGGTGTGAGCAGTGGCATGGAATTGTCGTATCCGTCTCGGTTATGTACCGTACGGTTCGATCTTGTCTGAGGATAAACAGATAAACATAAAACTGGCAAAGTAAATTCGTGAGAGGTTACATAAAAATAGAGTAATCTCTACCATTTCACAAAAGCACAGCGCATCAATAGTATTTGAAGATCTATATATTATTTTCGTTCATCCTAAAAACCCATCCGATATTAACGATGATAAAGCTTGGCAATTAGATATTTTTAAGCATCACGCTTTATAGTGTGGCATAGTAGTCAACGGAAGTTATCGATTGACATATGAAGCAGTCCAAAAACATTGCTAGAATCTTAACTATAATAAAACAAGAGTTCTAAATAACATGCTGTTAAAAGAAAATATGATGCCGATGAGAAAGTTTGCATAGTCATTCTTCCATGGGCGGCTCAATGGTATTAAATGAACTTTATTAGAACTATTGATTATATATTATTACGCAGCATCTGCCATAGATTTCGAACACTTTCATTAAAGAAGATAATGAAGGAGTAGACGATGGACGAGTACATAGCCTTTACGTAGTTGCATGAAGAACCATAATGATAAAATCTTAGACGCCGTAGTGTCTAAAATTGCTTGCTTTGGATATGATTCGATTATTTTGACTTAACCGATCATCATATAACAAACAACATTTGCAACAAAGGGTAAATGTAAAAAATCTTATACGACCAACTATTTCGTCGAGTCTCAGTCGAAATTTGCCAAAGAAGAATGAAAAAAAGAAACTCTACGATTATAAATACTCATATTTTACCATGTGACTAACAAAATTTCATAAAACGCAAAGTTGACGGTGGTTGTTATCATAACTCCTTCACAGTGCATCATTACTTTGCATTTCTTTCTTCAAACAAGTAATTGCAAAAGCATGAGAAACTTACGACACACAACTGTTATAAACTCACTAAAACGAAAATACTTCCACTGAACATATAATCATATATTCAACATACATTTCAACATCTCAAACATCTCAGAGATTTTCATCCATGTCAACCAAAATTATTCCAATTCTTCTTACATTGCCGGTAGAACTCGTCTATCAAATTCTTGACCATCTTGATAATTTCGATATTTTATGCTCCATGCGAAACGTGTGTACGCGTATGAATGCAATTCTCGACAGCTACTACCGATATCAGGTAAAACATAATTATATCTGAAAATTTGATTTCCCTTATCTTCAATACATTATTTATTCATCTAAGATATCAATCTATATACCGATGCATTTAAGCATTTTCCTTGGATAACCACCCACTGGTAGATCAAATCGAATAAATCTGACGATCTGTTGAAAACTACTTAAGCTTTAACTTCCATTCGAAAACTGTAACTGACAACTGACGATAGTTGAAGTCAAATAAAAACAAATGCCACTGGTATTAATCCAGCAATCACGAGAGTGAATATCGTTCGTTGAGATGACGATAACTTAGAGAATCCAAAACGAATCATACTAAAAAAGTACATGTCAAAGACTATCGTTAAAGCCGAACTAAAGAAAACAGCACTAATATTAATCATTTCCAGAAACAATATCTTTATAACATTACTGCATTACTGATAGAGAGCGACATATGAGCAGTTTCTTTACATTGTTAATCAGCTGAAATAACATCCGCAACTCAAAAACGTTTAAGAAACAAACAAAAGAGTCAAACAATGTACCGAGAGTGACAGCATGAACAGCACCTCCAATCGATGAGAAATTATCGTTTTTGTAAATCAAACATGGATAACCATCAGGACTTATTATTTCGGAACTTTTCTGCCGATGCTAGACATTACCACTCTGTCTCAAGCTTCGCATTCCGTATAATAGATTTCACAATAAGTTGAACACGATTTACATACACTACAAAAATTTATATACTTGCTGATACTTTCCAGTATTTCTTTTCTCAAAAAAAAAATATTCAAATCTCGAGGTACTAAATCAAAGGTTTTCCAACTAAAGCAACAAGTACTGACTATAGGTCCCATTAGGATATCTCTTCGCGAATCCTTGCATCCTTTCAATTTTCTTCTTCTCACACACAGACACTAACCACGCTGAACCTCCGTATGGATCGAGTCGGTGATGAAGGAGCGCAACGTCTTGCCGCAGCTCTCGAGCAAAATCCAGTAAGATGTCTACCTTCTCTATACACCGAAAAAAAGGTGCCATACGGAACCAATGGGAGTTTTGTGCTTCCTACAAAATCTAAGAAGGTTTTGATTTTTGCATCAAAACGGTTCGATATGGCACCTGTTTTTTTTTCAGTGTACCTACCATTCACTATCGGTTCAAAACAGACATTAATTACACTGAACCTCAGTAGCAATCAAATTGGTTATCAAGGAGCAAAACATCTTGCCAAAGCTCTCCAACAAAACCAAGTAATATATCAACCTTCTTTATCTATCATTCATCGTCGATTCAAAACAGACACTAACCTCACTGGACCTCAAATATAATGCAATCGGTGATCAAGGAGCACAACATTTTGCCCAAGCTCTCGAACAAAACCAAGTAAGATGTTCACCTTCTCTATCTATCACTCGCTGCCTGTTCAAAACAGACACTAATCAAATTGAACCTTGGTAGTAATCAAATTAGTGATCGAGGAGCACAACATTTTGGCAAAGCTCTTGAACAAAACCAAGTAATATTTCCATCTTCTCTATCTATCATCCACTGCCTGTCCAAAACAGACACTGACTACACTAAACCTTTTTTTCAATCGAATCGGCCCTCGAGGAGCGCAACATCTTGCCAAAGCTCTCGAACAAAACCAAGTAATATTCCTATCTTCTCTATCGATGATTCACTGCCTATTCAAAACAGACACTAACCACAGCCGACCTGAGTTGGAATAAAATCAGTGATTACGGAGCAGAACGTCTTGGCAAAACTCTCAAACAAAACCAAGTAATATTTCGACTAGGGGTGACACTTTAACTTTATTTCAAAAAACTGATTTCAGATTCGGATTCTTCGACTCCAAAAACCTTCGATCAAACTTTATAGAAAGCCACTTTTTTCTAAAAAAAAGTTCTTCTTTCGTGAAAAATCTCTACTTTAATTTTAACTTTAAAGTAAAGTTAAAGTGTCACCGCTAATCCCAACCTTCTCCATCTATCCTTCTTTTTTTGTTCAAAACAGACACTAATCACACTGAACCTCAGGTACACTGGCATCGGTAATGACGGTGTACAACTTCTTGCCAAAGCTCTCGAACAAAACCAAGTAAGATCTTCACCTTCTATCTATCCTTCATTGATTGTTCAAAGTAGACATTAACCACACTGGACCTCAGTATAAATCGAATCGGTTCTGAAGGGGCACAACATCTTGGCAAAGCTCTAGAACAAAACCAAGTAATATCTCTACCTTCTCTATCTATCATACACTGTCTATTCAAAACAGACACTAACCACACTGGATCTCAGTGGTAATGAAATCAGCAATCTAGGAGTACAACATCTTGCCAAATCTCTTGAACAAAACCAAGTAATTTCACTACCTTCTCTATCTATTATTTACTCTCTGTTCAAAATAGACATTAATCACACTAAATCTAAGAGGGAATGCAGCCGTTTCTGAAGGAACGCAACATCTTGTCCATGTTCTACAAGACAAGCGAATACAGTTTCAATTTCTCTGAATGATCTGAACTACTCCTAAACTGACACCCTAATATTGGACTTGAGAATGCTGGTGTGAGTGAGATTCTTAGGGATGTGTGTGTCTTCTCATCATCCTCACTCATCCTTGTTTCCGAGCGATAGTGTCGATGAATTTTGATTCTGCTATTTTTTCAACTATGTTGTTTTTTATCTTTTCTCGTTTTTGTTTTCTTATGATGGGATTTGAAACATAAATACGTTGTTTGCTTCTTATTATCAATTAACACAGCGTTAGTCAAATGTGCCATAAGTATTGCTACAAATAGCCATCGTTCGACTGCCGAGAGAACGTTTTCAACTGTCAAATTGCTTTTTGTTCGAGTATATACTCAAACAATAGACCTTAATGAGTCATTAAAAATCCTATAAGGATTTGGTTTTCCAAGTCTTCTGAGCAGCGATATACAATTATTACTACTACTGGTTTTGTCGTACCATTCTATTAATATTTTCAACATCTTGACTAAATATGCTTCGGACTCTTTCATATTTATATCAATACTAAGCCATTCAGTACTGATTAAGATTCTAGAGTTTGAAGATAAATCAATGTTTCTTATCGAAAATATGAATTTGTTTAACATATCGATTGATTATTAAAAAAACAAGATGTGTTCTTACTCAAAGATGTAAGTATTGATTTGTCTGATATTTTCAGTACATATTCATTTCATAGTCATCACGTATGTAGAAATATCAGCTCATTTGTTGGTAATTTAGTTAATAAGAATAAGAAGAATGATTCCATGCACTTTCCATCATATTATCTATTTTCAGTAACATGTTTATAAATCGAACTAGAATAAACAAAATTCAAGAAAGTGGAATGAATCATTTAATCAGTGGTAATGGTAGTTGTTGAAAAATTGTTCTATATATAATATATGACCACAATATCTGCATCGAATGAATGAACATGATGAACAACTATGCACATGACATTGTAAATTATCAAATCCGAAATAAACTTCAGTGGCAGTCATGAATGCACTTAGATGTGTATCAAGATATCTAGCTTTAAACCGCTCATATTCAATTAGAGCGATAAAGATAAGTGATGATAAGTGATTATGAATAAGCGACTTTAGTTTAAGCATATTGTTGCGTTTCGTGACATCTGTGTTCATATTATCAAGAAGAATTCGATCATATAGACGATGAGCACTGATTTTCTATTGCTGATCGAAAAATACGTCGAGTAGTTGAATCTTTGACGTGATTTTGAATGGAATTTGAAGACGCTTCCTCTAGATCCTCTTTCTTTCATTTTATATGTCATCCTCTTTTCGACCACATTAGTACACAATTATCTCTTTTTGCCGATTTTGACCATCACCTATTCTATGCACATGACGTATTCAAACAAAACTAGATATTATTTCGGTCAGTGAAATATGCATGCAATATATTGACATCTTTAATAAAACTAAGTTTAGTATATCAACATCCTATGTTCCATAGTGAAAAGTATGTGAAATCACTCTTCTTATTCTTATTAACTAAAGCACCGACGAATGAGCTGACATTTCTACATACATGATAACTATGAAATGAATACGTACTGAAAATATCAGACAAATCAATACTTACATTTTTGAGTAAGAACACCTTGTTTTTTAATAATCAATTGATATGTCAAACAAATTCATATTTTCGATAAGAAACATTGATTTATCTTCAAACTCTAGAATCTTAATCAGTGCTAAGTGACTTAGTATTGATATAAATATGAGAGATCGAAGCATATTTAGTGAAGATTTCAAATATATTAGTAGAATAGTACAACAAAACTAGTACTAATCTGTTGAAAGTAACTCGTAAACCAGTAATCAGAATTCCGATAGTTGGGTTCCACTGGATGCTAACAAATTCTCACAAGATGCTATTGGTTTTCGTCAGATTTCGACAAAATGCGATGAACTCTAGATCAGAATCCTAGTCACTAGATTGTTTGATTTAGGTATATAGTCAACATCAAGCATTGTCATTATTCTATATGCTTTTGATTTATTACTTGACATAGCATTTCCAATCAATGCAATATGACTAGGGTATGAGTAAGCAAGTGAATATTATTTTCTTCATCTACACCTGCTGATATCTCTTAGTGGTGAACATTTTCGTACTATTGAATCATTGTATTCAATTTTTTTATATTGAAAATTTTGGTTTCTCGGTAATTATGTAATTTCAATTTTTCTTCACGAAGAGAAAAAGTCGGTGCTGATTTGATCATCATACTGCAGTAATTTCAAATCTTTCAACAGAAGTTTTATAATTGAAAAGCATTGTATCACATGCAAATAAACGTTTCGTGTTACTAATGATTTTCCGGCTTGTTTTTTTTATTTGTGTGTGTCAGAAAACTTCATTCAAGGAGTTAAAAAAGACACTCACACACAGATACAGAAAGAAAAAAAAGAAAGAAGAGAAAATACAAACAATTGTTTGAGAAAAGAAGAGCGATAACAAAAAAACGAGATCGAGCGGACAAGTGAAAAAGAACATATGTGTATTTAAGCTTATTAAAAGGAACAGAAAAGAACTTCACATTACACAATGTCCTTTATAACGTGTAGATTCCAATTTTTTTTGAATACAAAAATGAAAAAAGATAGAATAATAAAAGAAAAGTAAAAAACAATTAACTTTCTTTGTTTAGGTCATCATACTAGTTGACAGATCACAAAAGAACTCGATGACTATTGCTTCTTAGGTGAGAGAAAAAAAGGCATTTAAGCCGAGATTCGATTACTCGAATTTTCTTTCACGAATATTATGTTTTAACTGTCACTGTTACCATAGATAGACATGAGAAAAATTAAAGCACGATTAACTGTACATATTAAAAGTATGAAAACGAAAGAAATTAGTGCTCAAAAAAACAAAAAAAAAAAAAAGAAAAGATAAACAGCACCAAAGCCAATCAACTTGCGCATCTTTAACAGTCTCCTTTTTTTGTTTCAAACAAGACCCATTGAGTATAATGTGCATTAAGAACAAGAAAAAAAAGAAAGAGTAAGTCTATTTTGCTAGTAAAAAATATATGAAGAAAAAAAAACTCTTGAATTTGTATAAAAAAAAAAAGAAACAGAAGATAAAAAAAAGAACCGAGATGGCATATATCTCGGAAGGTAAGCACAGATGAGAATAATCGGAGACAGAAAATCACAGTAATTCGTACTGTCTCAAGTGTATGCGTTGAATGATATCGCGACAGTCATTGAATACTCGACGAATGTTTTCTGTATCAACAGCACATGTAAAATGTGGATAACAAGAATGACGATTGTTACCACCAGCTGTACTAATTCGCTAAACAAAAACAAAAAAATGAAATAACACATAAAGAAATATTCATTTAATTTTTTTATTTACTAAAAATTCATCACGTATGAAATATTTAGCTCGAGTTACTTCTGGATCTTCATTTGGTTCGGATTTCTCTAAAATCAAAAAATCATCAATGAATATTGATATTAAATTAAAAACAAAATCAAATCGGAAGAAAAAAAGAGAAAATTATCAATTTTGATTAATTCAAAACACACAAAGGATAACAAAAACAAAAATGTGCTTTGAGTTTTGCTTACTATATTTCAAAAAAGAAGAATCTGTGAAAAATAAATAGATAAAAAAATTCCCTATTATAATATAGATTATTTCTATTCACCTAATTCAACATGTGAAACAACATAATGTGCAAATTCAGGAAAATTATCTTCAAGTCGATGGCCAGCTTTGATTTTGTCTGCTAAAAGATCTTGCTTATTAAGAAATAAAATAACCGAAATTGTTTTTAACCATCTAAATCAATAGAAAAGATAAAATATATAATTATTATTTTTTTTCTTAAATAAATTTTCTACCGATTATTCCAAATATTTTTAAATAAGTCAAGTGATTCTCTCAATTGATTTTGATTTTCATCTTCAGTAAGTACCAAATTAAAACCACTACATGCTGTAACAAATATTATGGCTGTAACATCATTAAAGCATTGAATCCATTTTCGACGTTCTTCTCGTTGCCCACCAACATCAAACATACTATATAGATATATTTCATTAATTATTCAAATATTAATAAATACATACTGGAAGCGTACACGGTCAACAGTAAAAATTGTTTCATAAATGCCTGATGTAAGAACACGACAACGAAGAATATCCTTTAAAAAACAAATATCATATATAATCAATAGTTTACGATTTTCATATTCATATATATATATATTGTTTTTTTTTTGACGAAATAGTCTATAAGCTAACAAAGAAAACCAATCAAACTGATATCTACTATTTGAGTTTATCTTGTACTTAGAAGAACGATTTGGTAAGACTAGTAAAAGTCTAAAACAGTTCGTTTTCATGTCGAGTTAGGATCGTTTTACTGAATTTTTGACCTATCTGTAGGTACATCGAAGAACAATACTTCGATGTGAAATTTTGTCCATAGATAGATCAAATGACTCTTGAATTACCCTGAAAGTTTCAGTGGAAAAGAATATTTCGTTCTCAAGATACTGAATTTTCAAAAATTAAATGTTTGCCATAGACATGATACAAAGATTTTGTTTACTTGAAAATTCGATATCTCGATCAAGGAATATTTTTGATGGTTGAAACTTTCAGGATATTCTAAAGACCATTAAATCTATCTAAGGAGATAATTTCACATCGAAATATTGTCCTTTGATGTACTTATAGTTGAATCGAAAATTCAGTAAAATAATCATAACTTTGCTCGAAAGACCAATAGGACGAACCGTTTTTGACTTTTGCTAGTCTCACCAAGACAGATTGAAGCACGCCTGAGTAGACCAGACTAAATCGGATGGCATCGATCGGTCTGAAATCTATGTCAACATAGGATTGACAAGTTGTTGTACTATTCTACCTGTGGATAGTCATATTTTGCATAGCCAACTTTCAAAAAAATTTCATTACAGATTCTCTATGAGCTACTAGAAGTAACA